AAAAATTTTTCTTTGTATTGCCATTTCTGTTTTCTTTCAATTTTATTGGAAATTTATTTTTGTTGAATAAATTTATGGAATATTTATTTTGTAATTCTGGTGATAGTAAAGAAATATTCTGACAGAAAAGTCTAAAAATATATATTTTTGTAAAATAATTTATTCCGATATATAAGACGTGATATCGAGAAATGGATTGAATAATTTAAATTTCACTCCACTTTTAACAGATATTTCTTTGTATAGATGTATAGCTTTGAAGTAATGAATTTGTTTCTAATTTGAAAATAAATTTGTTTTACACAACAGATGTTATATGTTATCATTATTTGCAAATTAAAGCGATATTACATCTATTGATCTGATTTTTATAATCTTAATATTTTTTGATTCATATTTCCTACGTTTAACATTCACTTGAGAATAGTTTTTATTTTAATCTAAAAAAACTAAAGGGTTTCAAAATAATTAAAAAGCTAAAGATTTTCAAGTACGGTACATTTTGTGCTATAAAATTACCATTAATTTTGAAACAAAAATAAAGACAAAATACATGAAAACAATTATATAATTAATAATTTATATAAATTTCTAACATAAAGAGGTCAAATGGTGAAACACTTAAATTATAATTAACTTTAGAAAATATAATTAATTAAAATATTTTTTTGTAAAAAAGTAATTGAAAATGATTGGAAAATAAATTAAGTAGCACTTGAATACTTATATAAAATAAAAGCGCATACAATACCTGAGTGCACTTGTGTAGTGCTTCATAGCCAGCTCAATATTTCCCAAATCCTTTTGCAAATTAGCGTAATTGTAATGAGTTTTTGCATTTTGGGGAAGACTTCTCAATCCAGACCTGACATATGAAACGAGAGTTTTGTTAATTGAAAGACCAAAACATGAATGAAAACTATGAATGTTTTGTTTGTATGAGTACTGACTCGAAGAGTGCCTCTCTTGACATCCACGACCTGTTCTGTCGGACTGTCTTTACAGCAAATATAATGATGAGTACAAAGAGTGCTGTCCTTATTATTGGAGTTAATTTTTTGGCAAATATATGATTGCAATGACTGAGCCGTTGAAGACCAGTGCAAACCAATATAATCATTCCGATACTGAAATCACAAATACACAACACATTAGTCAATATCATTATAGTTATGTTAATACAAAAATTGTCATATTTTAAACTTTAAAATATTCTGCAAATAAAATCTAATAAAAACGTTTACAATAATAATAATAGAAATAAGATGTGAAAATTGATGTGAAAATGCATTGATATGATTACAATATAATGATACTAGGTTACTGTATATGATAGTGAATGTAATGAATACCTGGGAATATAGAGAACTCTCTCAGCGATAACAAAGCCAACGGTTACGAACAAATTGGAGGCCGGAATGTATGGCAGTATTAATAATATAATTCCGATACATAATGTTCTATTGGATAGATCCTGGTAATTATGAAAATTTCATTTCATTATGAGTTTCATGTCATTTTGTGTCTTATATATGATGATTGAATTTGAAATGTTATGAACGGAAATCTCAATCATTGAGTGAATGTGTGGCAATTAGTGTAAGCAGTCACTGACCTGATCGTCATGAGAGGACATGGAGTTGTGGTATATTTTCCATATAATGAGTGCCAAAACCCATACCAAAAATAAGGCAAAAATATTTCTGGTGTCGGAAATGGAGGTAATGAGTTGAATACTTCCCATCTGCCAGTCGTAGGCCAGAGTGACCGGCGATAGCACGAGACGGGCGTTGAATGACGACAGATAGCTGTAGGTTAGGAACCTGGAGGTCAACACAGACAACACAATCATCAGCACAATAGTCGCATCATATCTAATATAATATATATATATTATATTGGATTCAATCATTATATGTGAGCCATAACTCCATTTACGTATTGATCACTCCATATGACTCGCACATCCTATCTCTCTTTGTGTATAACTACTGGATTTATTTATACGTAAACGCAATACCATAATATAATATATTTCAATAAATTGATTAAATATAAATAAATATAAGTCATGAATTTATAAATTAAAATAATTACCTGTTTATACAGTATGTACAACAGAATGTATGCAACATTAGATAACCCCTAAATGCCTCTCTCTTACAATACATTTTACTCTTAGAATAAGGTTATAAAAATAATAATAATAGATCGAGTTATGCAATAGGCTTATATATGGGGCATATAATAAATGATTGTAAAACTCATGACATGCATACAATGGTAATACACAAATACCTGGTTAATATAGACTTTGAGAAGGAGGTTGGGTTATCCTGTTCGGTGAATCTGGGAAGAGATCCGCCCAGAAGTTGAATGCGAAAGTAAAGCGATAGTATTAACTGTTTGGACACATAATTATGAATGAAAATTAATTGTCTCATCGGTGTGTATGTGAGTGTGAATGCAATGGAAATGAGTGAACAATGCTTACAGTGATCACAACAGATATAAGTGGACTAAAGAGCCAGACTTTGTTGCGTTGACTAACATTGAAAATTAATTGTCTCATCGGTGTGTATGTGAGTGTGAATGCAATGGAAATGAGTGAACAATGCTTACAGTGATCACAACAGATATAAGTGGACTAAAGAGCCAGACTTTGTTGCGTTGACTAACACTGTGTCCGCCGATTGCTTTCTCCTCAACACTCCTATAATGCGAAGAGAAAACAGTTTAAGTGATTGAAGAGAGAAGAAATCGCGTCAAACGAGAAGAGAATACTTAATATTTATTTTTCCATCACTTATACAGTGAGAGATATATGTCGACAGATATATATGCCTGAAGTTGGCGTTCACTTAATTACAACTCACGGAATAATATTCATTTTCGTGTCTTTTTCCGTAACGTAATTATATTTATCTTGTATTTACTCTCATTTTTTATATACAATACTTGTCATCGAAATTATAATAATTAGTTTTACTAATATTTTTTTGAAAAAAACTCAATTTTATTAAAAGGACATCAAATTGAGGCAAAAACTATGTAATACTTAAAAACCGTTTTATTGAAAGGCGGAGACAATGTTAAGGAAATGATTTTTGATGTATGGCTTGAATTTATATATTAATGTAAAAGTCAATCTCAAAATTAGTTTATACTTTAGCTATAATTAAGTCATACTTTGCTAAAAAAAAGATATTTTTCGAGGCACTGGAGCGTATAAACTAAGAGCAAAATTATCATAAACTTAATGAGAAAAATCTAAAAAATATTGATAAATGTAAAAAATAAATTTACAGTTTCACATGATAAAAAAGTGTGGAAATATATTGATTTGAAAAAAAATATTATTTTGTTCTTGAATGTGAGTGCTTTTATATTTAATAAAATAAAATTTCTATAATGTATGATAAGTTAGAAAATATTTTCCATTATAACACTAATCAAAATCACTGAACACAACAACGTTAAGTGTTTTTGAAGAACTCGTTAATAAATACAC